GCTCAATCCCAGTGGCCCCCGAGACCCCATGTGCTGTGTATGCATGCACCGCACACCCCCCAAGAACTTGAGCTTTAAAATCATAGGCTTGAGTTTGTATCTCTCAATTTTAGCTGGGGAGACTTGAAGAAGTTGTTTAATTACTCAGAGTCTGTTTCCTACTATACAAAATGGGATAATAATGTCAACAAAGATTATCTGACATAACATTTAAAGCACCTACTACTCTGCCTCACACATATTTGGCACCCAAGAAACCTGATTATTTGTTTACCTTACTGCTGAGATATGAGGTTCTTTTCTCTTCTTCAAATCATCAGACTTGATCATGAAAGAAAAAGACAAGGATTTTTTTGTTATAATATATTAGACACAAGGAGAAGAGCAGTTTAGTGAGAATCTGGCAGTAGAGCATCATGGCTAAGAGCCTGGATTCTGAAACCAGATTAACATAGCCCTTCCATCTGGCAATTCTGACTTGGGCAAGTTACTTGGCCTGAGTGTACCTCATTCATTCAATAAATAAGTAGTTTTCATAGAGAAGTTCATGTTTGTTGAGGTAGACAGACAATGTAAAAAAGGGCACACGACTGGTATAAAGCTGGGAAACAGGAGTGGGGAGTGCTGAGAGCCAGGAGGGGTTTGCAATGATAAATAATGGGACAAGAGCAGGTTTCAGTGAGGTGAGGCAAAGTCAATTCTAAGATGCTGCAAGGATACTGTGGATTAGAACAGAGCAAGGAAAGAGCAGTAGTAGTTGAGATCAAAGAGGTAAAGGGGTTCTTGGAGCTGGTCTATGTCATTTGGCTTTTATTCAAAGAAATGAGGAACCATTGGAGTTTTAAAGCAAAGAAATAATGTGATTCCATTTACATGACTTATTTTCAGTTAAAATTCCCATAAAACTTAGCATTTTAACCATTTGAAAGTGTGTAAACCAACTGGTTTCAGCATATGTATTAATGATGTGCAGTAACCATCAATGCTAGGTCCAGAATTTGACACTCAAAAATGAAATCCTATACCCATCAGGAAGTCACTCCCCATTTTCTCCTATCCTAGCTCCTAGAAATCACTACACTAAAACCATTTCCCGCCCCTGTAGATATACTTTCCTATTCTAGATATTATAAAGAAGTGGAATTTACAGCCTTCAGTGTCTGGCTTCTTTCACTTAGCAAATGTTTTCAAGGCTCACCCATGTTGCAGCAGTGGATACCTTTTTATAGCTGAATAAAATTCCATGGAATGAACAAACTATTGTTTATCCATTCACCAGTTGATGGACAGCTGAGGTTTTCCCCTTTTCAGTTATTATAAGTAATGTGACTTATGAACATTTGTGAACAAGTTTTTGTGAACATATATTTTTCAATGTCTAGGGCCAGTTTGCATTGCAAAAGAACACAATAGCTGATATTGTAAAAATAAATGAGGTAGGAGACCGATTAACATATTAGTAGAATAATCCCGGTAAGAGACAAGGACAGGTTGGATCAGATGTTGGCTACTGGCAGTGAAAATGGTAAAAAGGGTTTTTTTTATTACTCTGAATATATTTTGAAGGTATAGACAGAAAAATTTCCCTGATGGAATGGACATGAAGGGTGAGAAAGGAATCAAAGATGACTCATTTTTGGCTTGAACTACTAGAAAGATCAAGTTGCTGATCAATCAACTGAGATGGGAAAATGGAGCAGACACAGGCAGAGATTAGGAGTTCAGTTTTATAAGCATGAGGGCTTATAAAGGCAGATAACTGGGTTTTCATTAACCTGTGTAATCTTACTATAGACAAAAGTTTAATTTTCATTAGGTTTTCTGATTTAAGAGTCTCACTGTTTTCCTGTATTTAGCTTGGTTGATTCAATCACATGTATGAGGTCCAAGATAGATTGAGGTAGGGCAGGATACTGCCAGCTGACCAGATAATCAGTTCTAGTGTAAAATAATAAAAAGGATAGAAACCCATTATTTACTTTTATCCCAGATAAAATCAAAAGGAAATCGCATAGAAAACAAAATAATTCTTCATTTTTCTTATCTGTATTTTTTGAATATTTTGGCCCTGATGTCATGAGGCTTTCTAAAGGATATCCAACAGTGATATATTCCCTGTACTGAAAGATATCTCCCAAACTGAGAAAACCAATGGCATATTTCTATGCTAGTCTGGGCTGAATCTTTTAAGAGTAAAGAAAATCTTGATTTCGAGATAGTCTTTTCTGCCAAATTAAATTGCCCACCAAAATGGAATGGATTTAACTGGACAGGGTGTAATGCTGGGTATACTACAACATATGAAGCCCACCTAAAACAAAGACATGAACTCAAAATTTTAAATGGTTATTAACTTTTAATGCATAACTCCCTTCACAATACCACTCTCAAATATGTAATTTGTGCCTTTGTTTATAACGAACTTCCTTACTGGCAAAATGTATTGCTAGTCTATTCTTGACTACCTTTGTCACCGTCACCCCTATTATTTCAGACTTTAATGTTTTCTAGAGCAGGCAATGTCAAAATCTCCCTTATGATTATAGCACCTAATACATAGTTAACACTCAGTAGGCTACGTTAAATGAAGGAATGTTCTGAACGACAGAACTCTAAGGACTTCTCCTGGCACCACCCCCACCAAGGCAAACTCGATCTAAAACCTTGAGTCTTAAAGGTATTAAATGGTTTTATAGACAATAAATTTCTGAGGTGGAAGAACTAATGTGACTGGGGAATAAATACCTGCTGGAACTTATATAAATCATTATACTTTTCATGAAAGTCCAAGTTCAAAAGTTCCTTCTGAAGCCCTTCCAAGAAGTCTTGGTTTTGGATGAAGTTTGGGATCACGCAGTGTAGAAAGGGGTCCATGTCCATGGCAATGGCTTCTGTAGGAAGGAAAAATATTATCTATGGCTTTCTTTCCTTTTGTGTTTTTGACTCCAAAGTAACACAACAAGGAGAATACAAAAGGGGATGTTGGTCATGAATTTTAGGGGACCCAATGACTAATATCTAAGATTTGGGTGGGTAGGAAAGAATTGGAAGCTCTGCTCTTTCTTTTCTTTTGGTACCAGGAATTAAACCCGGGGTGCTTAACCACCAAGGCACATCCCCAGCCATTTTTTTTTTTTTTTTAAACTTTTAAACAGGGTCTTGCTAAGTTGCTGAGGTTGGCTTGGAACTTGCAATCCTCCTTCCTCAGCCTCCCAATCACTGGGATTATAGGCCTGTGCCACTATGTCTGGCTAAATGCTGCTTAAAATACTAGTCCTTAAGATGAGCATAGGTGACATCATTAAATCAAAGTTCCTGCTTTTTTTTAAATTTTAGTTTTTCAGTTTAATGATTACTGAATGTATTTTACATTCTTAATTCTTTCCTCCCAAATCTAAAATTACAATAGAAAAACAAGAGCAACAATGGCTGGTAATTTCTCTTCAACTCTGCCATTTCTTCCCCTAGTTTACTATGGGAGGAAGTTATTACATACTTTTTAAAAATAAAGCAGTTCAGGCATAACTTTTGATTTTTATCCCAACATTGCACCCACTACCTCTGGAAGGCTAGATCACTATTCCTCTAAAACTAACCACCACCACCTCCTACCAGTGCCTGGTTCAGTGGTGCTGTTCATGCATTATTATTTCATTTAACTTTAATGTGTGGGGTAGATATCACTACCCCTATCTTACAGATGAGGGAATTGAGAAGTCTGCCAGTGTCCAAACCCTGCACTTTAAATACTAAGTGATTCACTTTCTTCTCAGTATCCCAAACACCCAGGATTTACCTCATCAAAGCATTTTAACAACTGAAACAAAAAATATATGGTGAACCTTGGAAGAAAATTCATGACACATGAAGAGCTGTATCCTATAAAGTGTAACTTGGAGCTGAGGGTGGAATCCCTTGAGAGATGTTAAAGTGATCCTTCCCTTGGTCAAGACACGTTTATTTCTTAGGTCATACAGCCAGACTCGCCAAAACAAGTGCCTCAGGTATCTGCTCTCTGACAGCTCACAGCAAATGCTCTGGCTAAATTATCATGGGATGATCGAGCATAACGCTTGCCAGAAACATCACGAAAGCCACTTGAATATCTGTCCAAATGTTTACTGGCCCTTACTCAGGGAAACATTTACTGATGCGTGCATGCATCTATCATTGCCATTCAACATCTTTCCGAGATAAATACTGTTAATCTATATAATACTATATATATGTGTGTATATATGTATATATATATATAAAGGAACTAAAGCTTAAAAAAGATTAAATCCATTGCCCAACGACGCACCATCAGTAAAAATCCTAACTTCGTAATCTCGGATTTCAGAATTCTGTCAATTGGTGCGTCTACTTCCCGACACTCTCCGGCCTACATTTTTTCTTCTCAGATTTCTCACTTCAGACTAAATTTAAAATGAAAGGGAGCAGCAGTTGAGGCAGGAGGGTCGGAGGTGACCAAAGTCCTCCAAAACCTCTTCCCCCTGGGGCCCGGGCTCCAGTCGCAGAGCTTTTCCCCAGGCTTCCAGACCCCTGCGCGGGGGCTCCTCCCTCACAGCACCCGGTTACCGTGATTGAACGGTGTCCTACGGCTCCAGGCCTCAGCCACCTGCTTTTTCAAGGTTTCCTCCGTGACAGCATCGGAAAACTGTGCTATCACCTCCTTTTTTCCCTTCTTCCCCCCCCAAGCCGGGCCAGGCTCCGCGGGCCGCTTTCCACTCATCTCACAAGGTATACGAACCACGCCACATCGATGAAGTGGCTACTTCGTTCTGGAAACTACAATTCCCAGAATGCCCCCGCGATTCCCCAGCGCTACCCAATGGCAGGCATCAAAATACGAGGAGGCGGAACCCATAAATCTGATTTACCAATGGAAGCTTCAGATACTGAGATCACCTCGCCAGCGATTGTCTCAATGGCTCTCGGCCTGGAAGGCCTCCGCCTCCCTACTTCCTGCCGCCAGAGAGCCCGGATTCACTTCCGGCGTGCGTTCGCCTTCTTTTGCGCTCTCCTGTTAATGGCGGGCGGCGGCTGGTGAGCGGGACGCTGATAACCACTGCCCGCACGGGGAAAGTCTCCCCTGACTCCCGCTTTCTGCTCCCCGCCATTTCCGGAGCTCGCCAGCATGTCTGTGGTTCCACCCAATCGTTCGCAGACGGGCTGGCCCCGGGGGGTCACCCAGTTTGGCAACAAGTACATCCAGCAGACCAAGCCCCTCACCCTGGAGCGCACCATCAACCTGTAAGTGCGGCGCGGCCTTGGCGGGCATCCCTGTCCTTGTGAGCGCTCCTAGTGACGTTTCTGCTTCCCGCGCGCCTTCAGTGGGTCGGCGGGTTGCACGCCTCCCCGCCACCCCGACGACCGCTCGGGGATGCCACTTTCCTCTCTTCCTCAGGCCCTTTCCTGGTCTTATAGCTCCTGGGGCTTAGAGTCCTACTTGGAAAAGTTTCGTTCATTTGAAAACAGAGCTTGTTCCCATTCCTCTGAATTCATTCATTCTGGTGAAATCGAGGTTTGCTTTGAACTAATTTTTTGTCACCTATCCGGAAGTAACCAGCTTCAAAATGTGGTTTTTATCTTTCCGATTCAGTGTTTATACTTTCACGTCACGTGTAGGGTATTTCTTTGTGTGTATTTACTGGAAACGAATGGTGTAACAGCATCCTTTTTGCAGTTTTCACTTTAACAGAGTAAGATTTCGGGACATATCTGTATGCAAGGGTTTAAGGTGTTCCACCCCCTTTTAAGTGCTGTATAGTATTTCACCTTACGAATACACCAACTTTAATCTGACTGCTCAGGGATACCTGGACTACCCTGTGCATTCACATGTCTTGTCTAACTCAGCAGCAGCATCCCGGGCACCAGTAGGCCTCAGTTTGGGAGTATGGACGCTGTTATGGTGGTGGGGCTTTTAGATAGTGGACGGAACCAGAGTATTGCCTCAGAGAACCCATGGCGGGCTGTTTTATTTTCAACATACCTTTCTCTTTAAGCATATCATTGCATTTCAAGGTCACTGTCAAACATAATCTTGTGGTACAAGTAATTGGTATTTGGGATGTGTCTTGCTCAAGATATTGTCTGTCTGGTGTTTTTTTTTTTTTTTTTTTTGGTACCAGTGGAGCTTAACCACTGAGACACATCCCCACCCCTTTTTATGTCTTATTTAGAGACAGAGTCTAGCTAAGTTGCTGAGGCTGGCTTTGATCTTGGAGATCCTCTTGCCTCAGCCTCCCAAGCTACTGGAATTACAGGTGTGTTGTGTGTGTGTGTAAGGGTCAGTATACTTTTTTTGATTTTTAGAGTTTGATTTTGAGGCAGTGTGGTGCTGACCATAATGGAGGAAGTGGCCAGTTTATACTGGTCTGTGTTTAAAAAAAATGCAAGGATTTGCTCCTTTTTTTTTTTTTTTTTTTTTTTGGTAAGACAGTCTAATTGTTTTATATTCAAATAAAAGTGTCTTGAAATGGAAAAGATGTTTATTATTGTTTGGCAAAGCAGTTGCTGGTTTGGAAATTTGGATAATAAAAATATTAGGTTTATAAAATTTGGAATTAGTTGATAACTCATGTGTATAAATGTTAAAACCTTAGGTATTAATTACATTAACATGTAGTAGTGCTTTAATTTGATACTACTTTTTAAAAGTCCTCATATAAGATTCCTATGAAACGGAAAAGACGAGTTCTTTTAAAAATGGATGAAAGCACAATTTCTGGATTATTTTCAGTCACGATGTGAACTAGGTCCCACTTGAGCTTTTGTTTGTTTTTGCATTGATTACTTGATTACTGGATCAGTTTGCAACAGGCCATTATGTAGAATTGATGCTGCGAACAAAATGTTTTGATTTTTGACCTTGTCTCAAAATAAAAAAAGGACTGGGGATGTAGCCCATTGGTAAAGCACCTCTGGGTTAAATCCTCAGTATATTTAAAAAAAAAAAAAAGTTATGTATTGGGGCTGTGGATGTAGCCCAATGGTAAAACACCCCTGCGTTAAATCCTCAATATATTAAAAAAGTTATGAATCGATTTATAATACTTTTCATATAAATATGATATTTAGAAATAATTGTTGTGTTGTGAATGGCAATTCCCCTGGCTGAGTAATGATCTATTAAATTGAAAACAAGTCCCCTGTCCCCCAGAGTATTTTCATCTATGAAATACCGTGTGAATGCTTACTTTGTACCAGGCAGTGTGCCTAATACAGGATAAAGAGTGATAAGAAAGATGTAGCCAACCCCTGCTTTATGATGCTTATAATAGAATAACATGTATGTATTTGGGCTGGCACTTTGATTTCACAGCTGAAAATTCAAACTTTTCATCTTGATAACATTTCCTTCTTGCTATGGGAGCTGGCTCTTTCAAAAGAGATGTGTTATCTTTCTAATTTAGGTTCTGAGAACTACATGTTATGTAAAGCATTTTAAAAATATTACCTGACACATAGTGCTGTGTGCTCCTGCTAACATTGACAATGTTAGATTTACCATTGGGTCTCCTGGGAAAAGTTCCTTATAATCTTTAATGCATCCTGGAAGGGATATTTTTTTTAATGTATTTTAAAGCTACTTTATTTTTGCCTAGAATTTGGCTTCTGTAATTAAAGTAACTTTTTTGTTTGGATAATTTTGATTTCCCTTTTCAAGAATGGCTGAGTGGCTAGACCCATTGGCACCTGCCTATAATCCTAGTTGCCCTAGAGGCCAAGGCAAGAGGATCACAAGTTTGAGGCCAACCTCACCAACTTAGAACCTGTCTCAAAATAATAAAAAGAGCTGGGCATGTGAAAAGTGCCCTGGATTCAATTCCCTTAAAAAAAAAAAAAAAAAAAGAATGGATTGGGTATGTAGTATGTCAAGGGCTTTTGATAGAATGTGGCTAAGAAATTTTTATTGAAAGTCTTATATAATCAAGGTATTACAGGGTGGCTTGTGATAAAATACACACGTGTGGTTTTTAACTCTGTAAGGAAAAAATTGATCTTTACTAAATAAGATGACAGCTGTCTTCAACAATATAAACCATATTTTGAGTTCTTGATAAGGAAAAGTGTATTCAGATTAGATATGATGGGTAGAAGATTCAAATGAGAGGGAAAGAATGAGGATACTGAATAGAATAATTTGCAGAAGGCTAAGAAGGCCTCTTTGTAGGTTTAGAGAGGAAAGAACATAGGAAAGTTGATATGGAAAAGCTTTTGGTGCTAGAAAAATTTGATCATAATTGACTGCGAGAAATGAAAAATAATTAGAGAAATGCTTAGTATATAGGAAAAAGGGGGATTAGCTATTAGCACCTATAGTTAATAGAATTTATGACTAGAGTATTAGAGGAATCAGGTTGGTAATTATTGATATAGCAGCCATGGTTTAAAACCAAAGTATTACCAATATCTAGATAACCACCTCTCTAAGCATTTAAGGGCCTTATAGTAGCATTATCTATGCCTGAAAGTTCATTTATGGAATAGCCACTTGATCATAATGGTTTTCTGATTTCAAGACTTCAGAGAGCAATATTCTATTCTCTGCTATTTCATTTGTTAATTGTGTAACTTTAGACAAATCCTAAGTCTCTGAGCACAAAGATAACACTTTTGATTATGTTTTCTTTTGATGTAGTTGGTATCTGTTATGGCAAATTATGGTTATCAGTTCTCATACTAGATGTTTATTTTTGGATCACAGGTACCCTCTTACCAATTATACTTTTGGTACAAAAGAACCCCTCTATGAGAAGGACAGCTCTGTTGCAGCCAGATTTCAGCGCATGAGGGAAGAATTTGATAAAATTGGAATGAGAAGGACTGTAGAAGGGGTTCTGATTGTACATGAGCACCGGCTACCCCATGTGTTACTGCTACAGCTGGGAACAACTTTCTTCAAATTGTAAGTGGTGTTGGAATGAACAGCAAGACAACTTTTAATAGGTTGGCTGGCTTATGTAACAGTTTTAGTCCCTAGTCATTTATTCATTTCAACAAACACTGTTCAGTAGAGTCTTTTGAAAGGAAAAAAAAGTGTGTTTTCTCCAGGACAGTGCTCATTTATTTTTCAAAGCAGAAATCTGCACATTTCTATTATTATTGATGTTAATGATTGAGCTTGGAAGAAACCCCATGGAACAGATTAGTTCAAGCTCAGTTTCCAGATGTCAGCATAGTATTACTAAGAGCAATTGATGTTTATTTCTTTCTTAGAATGGTGTTTTCTAGTCTCATTTTAATATAGTTCAATCATTTGACCTCATAAATCTTTTAATATTTACTTGGCCCACAGCTTTTTGATTAATTATACCAAAAAAGAAAGTTCTCAGAAACTTAGATTGAAATTCTTGAAAAATGTCCAGACCTAAACAATGTGGTCTATGCTTTCTGGGCATTTCTAGACTCCATTATTATGGGATAGATTTCAGAGAGAATATTGGGATGAATTGGTGTCCAGTAGTTACCTTTATGTTTATACTGGGTTATATATTTTTTCTGTTTAAAACCAGCACAATATACTGTTAGTCTGATGAATTAACATTATGAATTCAACTTTCCAGAATGTTCTTTCCCCTGCTTTTGACATTTGTTTGTTCTGAGTGCCTTATATGACATTGAGAGAAATAATTACTATTGTATTTTTGTTGTTATCCCCAAATTGTATTAAGTTGAAAGCTGAAATTCTTAACCTTTATACAGACCTGGTGGTGAACTTAACCCAGGAGAAGATGAAGTTGAAGGACTAAAACGCTTAATGACAGAGGTATTTTTCTGTTTAACCACTTTGACAGTTTAATTGGCCATCTGAATATCATCAACTTATATATAATTTTGTTTTTGTCTTGTGAAAGGGATAAATTTATTGTGAATATTTAGTTTTTAATAAATACAGCTTAAATCTCAGTGTTAGTATAATATTTATTTTCTGAAAGTTGAACTTACAAGTTTATCTAAACATTTTAAAAATTGAGATGTTGATGTAACAATAATGATAAATAAAAGCCCGCATTTCTTGAGTATTTACTATTCTGGACAGTGTTCTAGATGTTTTACATATAGTCACTCCTTTAATCATCACAGCAGTTCTGGGAAGTAGGTACTATTATTATTAATCCTATTTTACAGATACGGATACTGGGATATAGATAGTTTTGATATTATACTGCTACTGTGTAGTGGAGCTGGAGACATGAATGCTCATAGTTTTGTTCCAAAATAAGTCTCTAAAATTTGCCCAAATTGTACTACTTTTTTAAAAAAATCATTCTAATGTCTACCTCTTAATAGTTGGATTCAAATATGTAGATACTGAAAACTGTAGGTTGTTTTAATGATTGATTTTTTTTTCATATTTAAAATGCAGTCTTCCTCTAAATAATACAATTAATCCATACCTTCTGCAAAACCCTTGATGCACAGAGAAGCAAAGGAGAACCAGAATTAAAATCACCTAAAGATAAACTTTAGGTATAAGTTCAACTTTCAGAAAATAAACATTATACTAACACTTGGGTTTAAGTTGTCATTATGAACTTATTTGGTTGGTTTTTCTAGTACTTGTTTCTTTTTAATATGATTTTTTTAATTTGTTTTTTCATTTGTTGATAGACCTTTATTTACTTATATGGGTGCTGAGAACCGAATCCAGTGCCTCACACATGCCAGGCAAGTGCGGTGCCGCTCAGCCCCAGCCCCAGCCCCTTTCTAGTACTTGTTAAAGTGCGTTATAACTTTTCATTTCCTGTGCTTGGATATACGTAGATTGAATCTACCTGCTTACCTATGCTTCTGAAAACCCCACCAAAGAGGCAGGAAAGGGATATCTTTAAAAACATATAAATCCAATAGGATTGAAGGAGTGCAAAAAGAAACAACGTAATTTTTGGAGGAGCTAGGAGGGGCAAATAATGATTGACTTAGCAGAAGCCTCAGTCCAGAAGGAGAGCAGAGTAGAATTTAACTGTGAAGAACACCAGAGTCTGAGGAATTAGAGGTGCCAGGTACATTTGAAGGTCGGTGCTTGAATGGGTTGAAAGCTAGATAAGTCTGTATAAGATTGATGTATTGTAGCGCTGGGGTTGTGGCTCTGTGGCAGAGAGCTTGCCTAGCATGTGTGAGACACTGTGTTTGAGTCTCAGCACCACATATAAATAATTAATAAATAAAATAAAGATCCATCTACAATTAAAAAATATGAAATAAAAAGATGTATTTATATAGCTAGATTGTCTTCTCCTACTCTGTACAATTAGGCAGAGTGGCTGGGGATTGATTCTACAGAGAAAGCAATGGAATCAGAGAATGAAACCTTCAATGAAAGGTTTAGGGGACGGGGAGAAGTAAGTGAAAGTTTCCATCCTGAATAATGTCTCCAACTCTGAAGCGAGCTCAGAGCATCTAGTGATAGATGGAGCAGAACTATATAAAAAAATTTCCGGCCAGCTGACGGAATGTTAACAATTAGGCTTACATACCCAGGCAGAAGGCTGAAGATTTTGTTTCTGGAGAGAGGGACCAGTCTAAGGAAAACTCCCAAGTGACGCTATTTGGGAGTCTTCCTGAAGAAATAGCATAGCCCTGCCATTCATTCACCCAGAGATGTTAATTAAACCTCTTATGCTTTATTCTTAATTGTGAGCAGATAACAAGTATACTAGACTTGTGGGAAAGGCTTTTTAATAAGAGAGGTCAAAAGAAGCAAAAGGGGGCTGGATGTTGCTCATTGGTAGAGTGCTTGCCTGGCATGACTCCATCTCTAGTATTACAAAAGTACATGTGTACATAGATACATTTTTAAAAAAACGGAATTCAAGAGAAGTGGAAAATTCAGTGACAAAACTGTGATTAATTTTCTTGGTACAATAAGAGAAGATATTGTGGGTCTGGGGTTGTGGCTCAGTGGTAGAGCACTTGCCTTGAACGTGTGAGGCACTGGGTTCGATCCTCAGCACCACATAGAAATAAATAAATAAATAAAGGTATTTAAAAAAAAGGGAAGATATTGTATCTATGAGACAAAGCGTCCTTTAAAAAAGATTTTAACCAACCCAAAATAAAACCTCATGAATATTTTTTAAAATGTTAGGGCAAAAAACTCAGTGGTGGGTTAAAAGGTAGTTCATACTATCAGAAAATAAAATGAAAAGGTAAAAAGAATGTAGATTAGGAAAAAACAAAATTAGTGTTCATTTTTAAAATGACCAATATAAACTATAGGTAAATAGAACTGAGGAATAAGAATTAGCAAAACATAATTTGAGACAATTTCCCAAGCCCAAAGGACATCTGAAAAGACCTCCTGGTCTGCCCTCTATAAAGAGTATTTAAAAATCCACCCAAAGGTACATCATTATGAAAATTTAGACCAATGATGATAGAAGGTACTCAAAGCTTCCAAAGAGGAGAGGAGTGGCTAGGCAGCCATACACGTTAATACAAGCATCAAAATCAGAAATGGCATCAGACTGCCGACAAAGAATACTGGAAGCTAAAAGATACTAGAGCATGCTCCTGTAATTCTGAGAGAATGTGATTTCCATCCTAGCATTTCCTGTCTAAAGTCTTACAAGTCAAGGGTACGGGTAAAATAGTTATTTCCAGACATGAAGAGATTCAAAAACTGGTATTATTCCTTATACCTTTGCTTAGGAAACTTCAGAGGGTTTTCACTACCACAATGAAGAAGTAAACTAAGACTGAAGATATAGGATCAGAATATTAGAGAGCATCAAACTGTAGGTGAAAGGTCAAGGGAAGCCCTAGGACTCTAGCTGTGCGAAGCAGGGCTGAGTGCATCTAGTGTAGATTGGAGCATAACATCTCTTTGAAAAAGTGAAATTGATAGAGTAATTTGATGCTTAAATTGAGAAGAAATTTAAATTATTATGTGGGAATAAATATAGTGATAGTAAATGAAATCAAACATTTATCAACTCTAAAGAAAAAAAAATAGTTCTAAAAATAAGGAAATGTAATTGTCGTTTACTAGTCACTATTGTGACTGATCTACCCAAGTATATTAATTTGTTGATAATGAGAGAATGTAGGGAGAAAAAGTATGAGTGGGTGATATGGTTTTAATATCTAAATTCTCTTGTGTAATAGAGGGAGATAATAGGATTCTCTAGGTTTTTAAAATTGAAAAGTAAGCCTGGTGTGTTGGCACATTCCTGTAATCCCAGCTGCTCAAAGAGGCTGAGGCAGGAAGATCTCAAGTTCAAAGCTAGTCTCAGCAACTTAGGCCCTAAGCAACTTAGTGAGACTATTTCAAAATAAAAATAAAAAAGCCTGGGGATGTAGCTCATAGGTTAAATACCCCTGGGTTCAATCTCTGGTTATCCCCCCCAGCAATAAAATAAAAGTAATCAAGAAATGGTCATAAAAGAATGTGTTTAAAAATGTAACTTTACGTTGGATAAATCTCAACCAGGTGATAAAGGTTGGTATTAGTGGTAAGTGGTACCCTTGATGTGATGCTGTAAGAGTGGCACTTTGCCTCTGTGGTCCTCCTCCCAAAGATTCATTATCTCAGTCTAATTGAGAGACTTTCTACAGAAGCTGACCAGTAGACTTCAGAACTGTCAAGATCATCAAAAACAAGGAAAGTCTGAGAATCTGGCATAGTCCATAGAAGCCCCAGGACAAATGATGACCAAATATATTGTGATATCCTAAATGGGATCTTAGGACTCAGAAAGGACATCAGGTGAAAAACTAAGGATTTCTGAGTAAACTATGGATTTCAATTGGTAATTATGTATTGGTATTGGTTCATTAGTTACAAAAGGAGAAACCAGGTGTAGGGAACATGGAAAGTCTTTGAACTATCTTTATGAGTTTTCTGGTCGTCTAAAACAGTATGTTTAAAAATAGAGGCAACAGAGGAATAAACAGCTGAGTTGAATGTTGCAGCCAGTGGGAACAGGTGAAGCGGAACAGATAACTTCCCTTTCTTACTATATGAACCTTGTAGAACCATTTTTGAACAATGAAAATGTATAGATTATAATTTTGATCAAGTTAACTAAGTTTAATGTTACACAGAATAATAAAAACGAAGATTGTGTATTTTGAAAATATTTCTAACTTGGTTAGGTAGAGGATTTATAGAAGCTCTAGTTGATTCTAGAGAAACTGTTGTATTGCTGGTTGATGTAATTGACTGATGACCTTGGGTTTTCTGTGTATACCCAGAGCACAGTAACAGATTTGTTGGCCCTATATAGCATTATGTTCATAGTAGCATGCTAATTTTGAACCAACAGTGTCTATCTTGGGCAGAATGACATAGATAATAAACAAGGAATTATAGAGAGGAAATATATAAGGAAGGTACATTAACTAGCTGTATATCTCTACTAGGAGTGCTGCCAGAAATAGTTTCTTCATCAAAGAAGGGTGTTCGTGAGTAAGTATGTTTAGTTTACTAGCTATGTCATTTCTTTTGACAGATACTGGGTCGTCAAGATGGGGTCCTGCAAGACTGGGTCATTGATGACTGCATTGGTAACTGGTGGAGACCAAATTTTGAACCTCCTCAGGTCAGTGTTCAGTTATCTTTGCTGGGCATTTGGAGAAACAAAAAGATGATTAAATTCTAGACATTTAAAAAATGATCAAAGTACTATTTGACTTTGAGTTTTCTTTTCTCCCCTCCTTCATTTAGTTAACAAATGACAATGCCACATATTCATTTCTTTCAAAGGAAAAGTTTAAAAATATACAAAAGTAGAGAGACTAGTAATAAATGAATCCTGTTACTGTCATCCACCAACTCATGGTCATACATGTTTTTATCTGCTTAGATTTTTGTGAGGCGAATCCTAGATATCATTTCACTTGTAAATACTTCAGTTTGAATCATAAAAGATAAGGACCTTTTAAACATAACCATGATGCTACCATTATTGTACTAAAAAATGAGAAATAGTTCATAATATCATATATAGTCACTGTTTTTACTGTCTTGATTATTTCTATTTTATATTTGTTTCAATTAGCATAGTTTTTTTTTTAACTCCTACAGATTGTCTCTTTCTTTTTGTAATTTATTAATGATGAAAACAGGCTATTTAAAGTCTTAGTGTTTCCTTTGCTGATTTGCATCCCCCTTTTTTCATTGGACACGTATTTCTTTCTCCTGTATGTCCTATAAATTGATAGTTTGATCAAAAGATTGAATTCAGTCTTTATGGGGAGAAGAGGGAGTAACAAGGCTTATCATTGATGATATATTTATATGTCTATTCCTGTGTAACAGATTATAGGTTGAGCATTTCTAAAATCAAGCATTTAAGTCCAGAGTGCTGTGGTTGACATGACACTCAAAAAGTTTTTGGTTTTAGAATTTTTGATTTTTTAATTAGGGATATTCAACTGGTTAAGTCTTTACCAGTATTCCAAAAATCTGAAAAAAATTCCAAAATCTGAAGTGCTTTGGTTCTAAGCATTTCTGATAAGGTAAAATCAACCTATATACCTCAAAACTTAGTGGCCTAAATAACAGAAATGTGTTATCTTAGTTTCCCAGGGTTAGGCATCTGGAAACTACCTTGCAGGGTAGTTCAGCTTAGGGTCTCATGAAGTTAAATTGGCAACTGGGACTGCATCGCTGGGATAGTCTCTGATCCCAAGCTCACATGTAAACCCTCAGTTCCTTCTGGGCTGTTGGACTAAAGGCGTCAGTTTTTGCTGGCTGTTGACACAAGGCCTCCCTCAATTACTTGTCATAAGAACATCTCCAAAGGATAACTTTCAGTAATGCAACTGGCTTCCTCAATTGGCTTGTAATTGAAGAGATGGTGGGTGACAGTGAAAGTGACCACAGGGGAAGCTACAGTTTCTTATACCTCATCTAAGCAGTGGAATACCATTGATGCTGATGTACGTTATTGACCACCTTCTAGTGCATTGGGAGAACACTCCACAAAGGTGTGAATGCAAGGAGACAGGAATCATTGGGTGTCATCTAGAGGCTGGCATCCCCATCTGGTATTTAGAATATCTGGTTGTTTCGTTTTATAATATTAACTAATTGATGAGAATTTCCTGGATCTGTGAATTCATTAGGTTTGTAACACTTATGTAAAGATAAATTGTTGCTTATTTATAAAGAGGTGTATAATGTGTATAAGAAAAAATATTCTTTTTTTCTTTTACTTACCAGTTTTCAGAAGAATGAGTTCATTATTTAGCATCCTGCAGACACTTGACTTTCTTCAAAATAAGACATAGACTTTGGTGCAGATAGTTCTGGAAGTGATTACAGGAAACAGAAGAGTATAAGGAGAGAGGGAGAGGAGAGTAGCAGCTGCAGAATTTTTTTTTTTTTTTTAAAGGAGGAGGAGGAACATTATTATTGATCTAATTACAACTGAGGGCAACTAAATGAATCCAGCTAAGGACTATCAGCAGCCATGTGGACTGTACTTCAGAATTGCCCATCAGAAAGACAGAGAGCAGACTCTTTCCCTGCCGCTGCTGAGTCCCACAGAGGCTCAGGTACATTCAAGATTGGCTTTACCCATTTGGTATAAAGCGGCTGGAGGTATGAAGACTGTCCTCATTCATGAAGGCCTTACACATGGAATATGCAAAGCTGCTGGAACCTTAGATAAGAGACAAGCCCAGGGGCTGGGTTGTGGCTCAGTGGTAGAGTGCTTGCCTAGCACGTGCACCACATAAAATAAAAGAATAAAATAAAGCTAAAAAAAAAAAGGAGAGACAAGCCCATCTTTGTGTGCTTGCATCCGACTGTAATGAGCCCATGTGTGTCAAGTTCGAGGAGGCCCTTTGTGCTAAGCACAATATCAGCCTAATTAAGATAGATGACAGCAAGAAACTGGGAGAATAGGTAGGCTTCTGTCAAATTGATTGAAAGGGCAAATCTCTTAAAGTGGTTAACAGTTTTATAGTGCTTAAGGACTATGGCAAAGAATCTCAGGTCAAGGATGTCATCAAAGAGTACTTCAAATGCAAGAAATAAGCAAATAAAAAAATGTGGTTTGTGCACACACATACACACACACACAGAAAAGAAGAAAGAAGGCCAGAGACCCCTCTCGCATCGTGTGAGAGTTACATTAACTCCCTTGCACTTTCATGTTGGGTCTGAGCATGAGTTGAGAGATGTTTCAGGGTTTGGAAAAGCTTAGATTCTGAAAAACAGGGAGCGGAACAATAGCAGAAAGCAGGGAAATTTCTGACACTTCCAAACACAGCTGCCCTGAAATCTGAGGGAGAATGTGGTTCTGTCATATTGGGCATAAAAATCACGTTTTAGGGGCTGGGGCTGCGGCTCAGTGGTACAGTGCTTGCTTAGCATATGTGAAGCACTGGTTCAATTCTCTGCATCACATAAAAAAATAAAGATATTGTGTCCAGCTACAACTACAATATATTTTAAAAAGTATGTTTCAGTAACCTTTTGAAGTGTCAGTATGACCTCAGGAATTTAAATATATTTGATTTATTTTAATCTATTGTAGTGATTGATAATGTTATTGATGCTTAGATTTTCCTACTTTGGCTAGTGAAGGAACATCTTAAAGTTGGATCCTGCATTCTTTTGGCCAGTCAAAGGCCCTGTGGCTTGATATCTTCTTTGCATGACAGGATGTTCTAGGTCAAGCAATCCACAAAATATTTGCCAAACGAAAGATGATTCTGTGCTCTCTCATTTGACTGTCTTGCATAGCAGAGGGAAAGGAGGACACAGGGCTTGGAAGTGCTAGTGCACATTGCCTAAGAATTGCTGAGAACACATCTGTCTGTGTCCCGGCTTTAATTCCATATAGGAAAAAAAAAATTGCTTTTTGTTCAAAAAGACACAGAGCAAACAAATCCCATCATTACGTACAGCTATAATGCACCAATAAAAAAATGTGGAAAGAAAAAAATAATCAGAGCAATTATTCTTAACTGGTTTTGGTTTTTTGAACATTATCTGACCTAATTGGAAATTGCTTTACAGTCTACTTTCTGAATACTCTCATCCATCTCCCCTGCCATGGTCCTAGAATGCTTCCCTTTGCTGAAGTCCTGGCAGTATCAGGTACAAAAGGATTGTATGGTTATTTAGTAAACCTAGAATTTTAGGTAGGCCCCAGTGGGAAGAAGTTACGAAATTATAAGCTCCCTACAGTCTTTTCAGAAAAGAGTGTAATTGCCTTAGACATTAAGTCCAGGACTGTAGAAGACAGGCTTAAAAAAAAAAAAAAAAAGGAACTGTTGCTTCAAGTGGAAGAAAATTAGGGTAATGGCACTCACTTTGGTTTGGTCACAGTTTGGGAGCTTTTGTTATATGGGAGCCATAAGTTTTATTTTTAATTTTTTTTTTTATGTGCTATTTAAGTCACTTCTCAAATCTTTGCTGCTAGTGTGTTTGTTTCTCTGCTGCTAATGTGTCTAAGGGACCTCCAAAGCCTTGGACATCACCTCAAACCATTTTCTTTAGGAATGGCTGTGATGTATAATGAAGCTAGCCCAAATTCTGGTTAGGAGCCAGTGAGTAACACGATGAAAAGCGACATAGACTTTTATAATTAGATAAAGAGTCGAACAGATGCTGTTGAATTTTGGCTTCACTACTTAGCAGAGTCATCTTGGGAAAGGTTCTTGGTCTCTTTTAGTAGAAGTTATAAAATGTAGATGATGATAATACCTCCTTTTGGCAGCATCTACTTTTTCTACCTTCCCTTTATGTCTATTTTCAGCACTTTTTAATTCTCTTGCCCTCCAATAAAACTCCAGAAGCAAAATAGATTTCTGAATGTATTGTGGGGACATATAGCAGAAGTTTTGTTAAGTATACATGGTAGGGTTGGGGGAAAAATCCCTTAGTTTTTTTTTTTGTTGTTGTTGTTGTTTAAAATTTTGGTGGATTGAACTCAGGCTTTCACATATGCTGGTCAGGCAATCTACCACTCAGTTATGCCCCTAGCCCTTACCTAGTAGTTTCTTTCTCTAATTCTTTTTACCCCTTTAAATTGTCTAAAATATTTTCTCCATTTTACCAAGCAATTATACTTTGTCCAACTGGCAGAACTCCGATTACTTGGCTTGTCTAGTGTGTGCTGTGTATGTGTAGTTGGGAGGGTTGTTGAGGGAAGAAGGAACACAAAGCATCTTGTCAAATACCTCACAGGCTATATTTAAACTTTTAACATAGTAAACATGTTCCACATAGGATTCTAGAGCATTTTACCTTGTAATGATATTTTAAAACAGTAATGACACTAAAGTCAAACTTCATCATGTTGTAAATTTCTTAGGGCCATAAATTATGTGATTTCATATTTAGTTGTCTTGAATTTTATATTTTATATTCATATAAAATGACAAGTACTTATAACTACTTGTTATTTTATATGAATGAAAATACTTATTTATTAGTATACCTTTTAGGTAATCTGTCCTGGTAATTGGAAAACTAGAAAATAATATTCTACCATCAGTTTACAGTGTATTGGGGAATAAACATATAAAGAAATAAACGCATGTGATGGAGTACATGTTAAATTAAAATTGTGTTTAGAATATAAAGAACTTGGTCTGAGAAGGGTTCATAGTTGGCCTTAGCGTCTGAAATGTGAGATATTGATGATTAAAGGTGGGGAGGTAGAAAGAATTGTTGGTTTTGAAAACTACAAATTACTCTCATTTGTTATTTTAGTATCCATATATTCCTGCACACATTACAAAACCTAAGGAACATAAGAAGTTGTTTCTGGTTCAACTTCAAGAGAAAGGTAAGTTTTTTTTGGTGGGGGGGTGGGGGTAATAGGGATTAAACTCTGGTACTTGACCACTGAGCCATATCCCCAGCCCTATATTTAGAGACAGGCTCTCACTGAGTTGCTTGTGCCTTGCTTTTGCTGAGGCTGGCTTTGAGCTCATGATTCTTGTGTCTCAGCCTCCCAGGTCACTGGGATTACAGTTGTGCACCACAGTTATTTTGGTTTTTGAAGGTACATCTAAACACTTGTAGAATGTTTTCAAGGATATTTCTATTTGTGTTTTTTCCAGGTTACTAGAGGTTTTTTTGTTTATTTTTAATTGTAAAACCAAAAACGTGGCATGTTCATGCAGAATTACTTTAGTTTCTCTTAGTTGTGCCAGTCATGGTATTGAGGGAAAAGTAAATTTAGAACCTAACATACCAGATTATAGTAGTATTTTTCATTTTTTGCCAGAGGTAGGAGGGAGTCTAGGGATTTAACCCAGGGACAATTTACTACTGAGCCACATCCTCATCCCCCCCCCCCTTGTTTTTTTAATCTTTAGTTGTAGATAGACGTAGTACCTTTTTATTTGTTTATTTTTATGTGGTGCCGGGGATCAAACTCCACCACTGAGCCACAATCCCAGCCCATCCTTAGCCCTTTTTATTTTTGATTTTGGGATGTGGTCTCACTAAGTTGCTTAGGGCCTTGCTGAATTGCTGAACTGGCCTTGAACTTGCTATCTCAGCCACCTGAGCCTCTGGGATTATAGGCAAGCATCACTATGCCTTGCAGATGATGGTATTTTAATACTTTTTCAGCTCTTGGTATTGGTTTTCATATTGTGAAAAACTAGTGAAACCTTAAAGAGAGTCTTGGCCTGTTATGTGATTTAACAAGAAATGATTCCATTTTTTACAAGGGTTTTATAATGGGATTCAAAATGAATTATAACCCCAAGGCTATTTTCTCCTTTCTCCTGGAGCAGTACTTATAATCAAGTTGTACATGTTGTTAATACCTTGGATCTCTTAAGAGAATCGGTTAGTTTCAAATGTGTGACTGATCTCTAGCATAGAAGACACAACCAAAATTTATGAGAATTATCTTTTTTCTCAGACGTGTTTTTCAGGTTTAAAATTGTGTATTAATTTGAAATAAAATAGAATCAGTGACTATATGAGAAGTTACAGAAAACGAATCCTGTTTTGTTTATTTTAGCATTGTTTGCAGTCCCTAAAAATTACAAGCTGGTAGCTGCACCACTGTTTGAATTGTATGACAATGCACCAGGATATGGACCCATCATTTCTAGTCTCCCTCAGCTGTTGAGCAGGTATGGAAAGTTGCACATTTTCTCATCCATTTAAATTGTCGAATTTAAAATATTCAGAGCCACTTGAGAAGGGGCAGGTCACAAAATCTGGTATTTAAGGAAACTAAAACTGTAGGTTGACTCTTGGGGTCAAGTATAAACCAATTGGCATGATGTTCTGACATTTATGTAACTGCTTCCTGAGATCTGATATTCTCTATAGTTAAGCTTGAGTTCTTCATTCAAAAAGGTAGTGGTGAAATAGTCAACAGTATATAAGGGAGTCTATATAAAACTGTGGAAATTGAATCTCTTGGTGTAATATATTCTCTTTCCTTTTTGGAATTTACTATATTTGGCTTAAATTAGGGCATATGAGATTAATTTCCAAATTTTTACATGGAGTTTAAATTTTTAGGCAGATAAATTGATGAGAAATGGATTTTTTAAAAGTTGTATTGGTTAAAGTTTTTAGAACTAACCACAGATAAGAATTGTATAATACCATGGTGATTATGGATGTAGAGTCTATGTCAGTGTTTATATTTGAATTATACTTTCACTAGTGATAATGTGACCTTGGACAAACTTTTATACCCATTTGTGTGTTTCTTCATCTGTATATGAGAAAAAAGTGGAACAACACGTAAAATGTTTAGAACAGTGCTAGGTTCCAGGTAAGTACTAAATAAATGCTAGTTTAAAAACTACTTCAGTAGTGATTTTAGCCCTGTATGAAAGCTTGTTAAATATGAAATCAGCCTTCTTAGTCACTAATCAAACTTGGTCTTTTGTTCTTCCACTTTGGTCTCTTGATGAGTTATAAGTTGAAGTATGGTATATGAAAAAAAAATTGATGGGCGTGGTGGTGCACAGTGGTTTGGGAAGTTGAGACAGGAGGATCGCGAGTTCAAAGCCAATCTCAGCAAAAATCGAGCCGCTAAACAACTCAGTGAGACCCTGTCTCTAAATAAAGTACAAAAAATAGGGCTTGGGATGGGGCTCTATGGTTGAATACCCCTGAGTTCAATCCCCAGTACTCAAAAATGAAAAGAAAAAAAAAAGTGTTCATTTAAACTCCTACCTGTCGGGTATAGAACTGTGCTGAGTGATCAGAATACAAGGACATGTAAAAACTTTTCCTGCCTTCAAGGAACTTGATAATTGACAATTAATCAAATATATAGTCTTTAATTTTTTTTCAATATAAGTATCCAGCAACACTTATCTAATGTAGAAGGCAATGATTGGTGAGATACAAAATGGTAATCATGTCAAGGGAGGGTAGAAACATCCTGATTGGTTCCCTTATCATCTACAGTGGAAACTATGTAACAAATACTGTTTTTAATCAAGGTATTGTTCTTTTTAAAATTCAGGTTCAATTTTATATACAACTGAATACCTGCAGCAGAGGAGAAGTAAAAGAAGCCGTCTCTGTGAGCACAGCTATACACAGTGTAGAAGAATAAACGTCTTAGTAAAGTTTTTTTGGTTTTTATCCCTTTCCCAATCCCTAAATTGCCGCCTACTTTCTATTGTTTGAATAGTAAAGTTAATATGAGGAACTAGAGAGTGGTGTAAACAAATATGATAATGTTTATTTACTTTTGGTTCTACTCATAATTTTTTGTACAACATTAAAGAAAGCAAACTTCTTTCTATTTGTATTCTTTTTTTAATTTCTCATTAAACTTTGAAAAGCTCAAAAGTTGAGGATTGTTCTTTCCCTCCTTTAGGCTGGTGAATGTTAAAACAGTGGCAGTTTAGGTTAGTTGAGTTTGTGGGACCCTTGCTTCAGTACCATTTTGGGGCACATAATCCAAACCCATTACTGATATTTGTGATGAGGATCTTTCATTACTTTTGGGAGCTAATTTGTCTGATTGAGTCCAAGGTGCAATTCCTGTACCACACTCTTGTGAATTCTCTTGCTGAGAACTCCCGGGATATTAACTTACCAGTATGTTTTACAGCCATCTAGGCCTTAGTAACAACAGATATTAAACATATGGGAAATCATTAAAATATGCTGGGTTAGCAAAGTCATGGGAATTGGTACAAAAAAGAGACCCTTCTAGATAGAGCTCATGTAGTGTTGTTTTTTTATACAGTGGGGTTAATAATTATTTGTGGTATTATGAAATTGTTTTTTAATTATCCTTAGAGCCATGGTAATACTATTAGGTTATAAAGTCTCAGCTTGCAGAGTTATCTCAACTAACTTGAGTTTATATCCATAGAGACGGAAACCTTGTTTTAGCAAGTGACAAAAGCCTTTAAAATTTTTTTTGGAATAATCAAAACCAACTGAACTCTGGGTGCAGGGTAGAAGACAGATTTTGTCAGCATAAGAGAAAAGTACCAAATTTTTAAAAACTTATATGAACACCATCCAGTTAGGTTCAATGGGACTCTGCTGGTTGCACCATTACTTTATGGTCAAAAGTATATTGTTTATGTGTCATTATAGACTTGTTGACTATAGGATTAATGTGAAAGAAATCTTGCAAGGTATAGCTTGCAAGTTTGGTAAGTTTTTGATAGGTAGAGATGAACTTTTGATTAGTTCATATATTTTTATGGTACTGATCACAGGGTTGGTATTCTGAATATGGAGTGGTCAAAGATACGTCATGCTCTTCCCTATTCAGACCTGATCGGGCCAAGAGTGGCTGAGGAATTGTAAACATTCACATTTATTTAGTTGGAGTCATGTCAGATCTTCACACGGTTGTGAAGTAGTGACTGTACCTGTGCTCATTCTTTGTAATAGGTGAGTACCAATCTTCCTGACCAAAAGTGAAGAGTTTTGTCCTTTGAAAAAGTCACTAGTCCTTTGAATAGTCCTCTTCCCTCAAGGGCTAACAGTCTTGTCCCTCTGATTTACATTAGCATATTTCTAATGTTTAGTTTTACTGGTTAGAGTCTTTAGTTGATCCTTCAGGTTGGGGAATATAGAGATGCAGATGGGTTGATCCAGTTCACTTCCCATGACTGCTTTGGCATCTAAGTGAAAAGATAACATTTCAGATGTGAGCTCTTGCAATTCTGGGAGGGTGGTGATTTAAACATGCTGTCTAAAGAGTGTTTGAGTTGAAGTCATCTGATTCAAGGCCAGTTATTGCCCTTTGTAACTCACACTTTGACCTAGAAAATCTTGGTCACTTGTACAAGTTCTACAGTCAGTCATCTATATACCAGAACCTATTGCCCTTTGTAACTCACACTTTGACCTAGAAAATCTTGGTCACTTGTACAAGTTCTACAGTCAGTCATCTATATACCAGAACCTAGTGAGCAAAACCTTTAAGTTGGCTGGGTTACTGATCTTGGGATGTAAGAGATCTGGTTTTGAATGTAAAATTCATATTGCACAATCACCAACTAAAACTTGGATCCCAATATTCTAAGTTTCATAGTGGATATAGAACCTGAGGGTTAAAATTTGGTTTGTTTCTTTTAAGCCTTAAAAGAGAATGTGTGCACTGATTCATGTTAAAATTGTCTAATTCATAATTTCTTACCATACTCCTTCAGGGACTGTTTTAAAATTTGCATTCCAATGATCTTCATGCTAAATATTGGATAGTTTTTAACCCTTGATTAACAGGCATATTTTTCAGTACTTACTGTGTCCCAGATTGTCTACAAATGAAAGCCCACTTTTGCAATTTATAACCAGGATTTATGCTATCTTATTTTCCATGAGTAATCCAAGTAGTACATATTCTGTTTAAAACAGTATACTAAGTGGCACTACAAAATGTTTATAAAAAAGTAGGGGGAGGAACTTTTTAGATCAGTTTTAGTTCTTGTTTGAAGTCATATTCAGTATTGACATCCCTTTAGAGGAAAATGAGATTTTTAATGCTATTTTAAGCATTTTAATTTTTTTCCTCCTTTTTTAAAAAAGTAGGCAATACTTAAAATGGCATAGTTCTGTACATAATTTGTACTGTAACATTTCAAAGTTTTTGAATAATCAGCATTCAGTTATTTTTGGAATTTAAAGGTCCCATTAAATTAGCATTAATTGTATTTGGATAAAATGTAGTAACGAAATAGTAGGTCTGTTTTCTTACAAAAGAGGTGGAGGACGACCTTCACATTCATCAGGCCAGCAACTGTCAGCTTACAGTTTCCTTTCTTAGATAATCTGACACTTAGGTCCGCAGCTATTACTACTTGCTCAGTCACCTGAGATGAAATGCTTGGAGTTGCTTTTCCATATTTTAGTTCCTCAAATGTAATGTTTTTACTATTATGTTTGGAACAATGTGTGCTGATCGATAAGGCTGTTGCAGAGAATTTGCAGCTTTAGATGTTGCCTTGCCAAAGAAGGCTTAGTGGGTTTTCTCTGTAATACAAGTCAGCTTCTGTAATATAAGACTTGATGTTCCCATACTTATTCCACTTGTTTTTACATCACTTATTGTATGGGTTAAACTCATTTCAAGGGATTTGCTTTTGTTATTTAAATGTGTAATGAGAGCCTAGGATTCCCAATGAATCTGGAGGCTGAAGCAGGAGGACTGAAAGTTCAAGGCCAACCTCAGCAACTTAGCAAGACCCTGTTGCAAAATATAAAATTTAAAAGGCTGGAGATATAGCTCAGTGGTAAAACACCCCTGGATTCAATCCTCAGTACCTGCTTCACCCCAAGAAAATAAACGTAATATGAGAAATAATAAATAATACTGTTATTTGACTTGAGCAATGCTTCACCCGCTCTCCGATTTTTCTGTGCTGGGGATCTAACCCAGGGCCTTGCCCATGCTTAGCAAGTGCTCTATCACTGAGCTACATCCTGGCCCTAAATTTCTATTGTTCTTTTTGTTTTGCCATGTTGGGGATTGAACCCAGGACCAATTAATCTACCACTGAGCTATGTTACCATCCCCATAAAATGCATTTTAATATTAGTTCATAAGTATCAAACCTGTTTTGTGGGAAAAAAACACTAAGACCTATAAGTCTAAATTAAGCCAAGTTAGGTGTATTTTTTAATCCCGGGAATTGTTAAGAATAAAGTTGGGAAGGTATGTTGATTAACAGCCAAGTGCAGACAAACACATCTAACCTCAGTGACTTGGGAGGCTGAGGCAGGATGATTGCAGCTTTGAGGCCAGCTTCAGGAATTTAGTGAGGCCCTAAGCCATTTAGTGAGACCCTGTTTTGAAATTAAATAAAAAATGCTGGGGAATGTAGCTCAGTGGCAAAGCATCCTTGGGTTCAATCCCCAGTACCCGCCCCCCAAATATGTTGGTTATACTGTTCTATTGAAGGAAAAATCAATGTTTAAAAACTGAAACTTTTGGCTGGGGGTGGAGCTCAGTGGTAGGGCACTTGCCCAGCATGCATGAGAGGCCCAGAGTTCAATCCCCAGCACCACAAAACAAGAACTTTTGATTACTGTATTCACATCATGGTATACAAGTACCATTTACAGTTTGGCTTTGAGAATTTTTCTGATATTGTTTATAGGAAATGTATAAAAGAAATGGTTTGAAGTTTTGGTTATATTTTTATATTTGTAAAGCAAGAGTTTGATTAAAATGGTCACTGTTCTTTTTTATTTCATTGTCATTTCAATAAAAATACTTAAAACAGAATTACTGACTGGGATAGTCCTATGTGCGCCAGTAGAAGTCTCACACTGTTTTTTTCCAGTATTATTGGCTGCGGGTTGTTGGTAAGAGACAGCTGGCCCATGTTGAGAGCCTGTTGGCCTAGGCCATTGATGCTGCCCCTCCTTTGGCTCCCCATTGTGTATGAGCGAGTTTTTAGCCAGTTTGGTTTCCTGCAGTTGAAGGGGGCACTGGATTTGGAGCCTGTAGACTGATTTGGAAGTTGTAACTGTTAAGTGATAAACTGCATCTTGTTCGTATTATTGGGGACTCACTTTGTTCATGGGCAGAGAGTTGACTCCTTTTACCCCTCCAATTTGCACAGAAGTTGTGTGACACATCATGCCTGCTGGTTTACGTAATAATTTTTTTTTTTTTCCTGATTTGAACAACTTAGGTAGAAGTTAAAACATGAGCAATGGGTCAGGAATTTAAGAAGACACTTAGTACAGACTGGGGGTGTAGCTCAGTGATAGAGTACCCCTGCCCTGAGCTCAATCTCCACTACCTCCAAAAAAGAAAATAGTACAGAGCAAGTCAGTTGATCAACAGCCCTGCCTCAGTAGCGCCCCAAGATCTGACAAGATAGCTATTTCCGTACCCTTGCCTAATCTCAGTCATATAAGCTATACCTCTTAAAACAGGAGGAAGATAGATAAATTCAGGGGAAAAACAGAATATGTTTGCTTAAAAGGGTATAATTATCAAAACATCTTCAGCAAGACCCTACACAAAAACCAGACCAGAGATTCCCAGACCTAGGAAAGCAAAGATGAATAAGAACAGAGTCCAAACATGAATTCTGTCAAACCAATTCCAACTGGGTCCAGTCGGCCAGGCCAGCATGACCAAGGGCTGCCCTTAGGTTGTTAGCTAATGCAGTCCAGCAGTCCGGAGCCCAGAGGTGATACTTAGGTGGGATTTAACCATCTCCCTCCTACCCCCAATAAAAGCTGGACACAAGGGAGTTGTTGCTCTCTTCTTTGAGGGTGTTCCCCCACTTTTTTCTCCTGTAATAAACTTTGCTATACTTTACTAAGTCTCGAATCTGCTGGAAATCCTCCCTTGTGAAGATACAAGA